TTCCCGCCCTATGACGTTCGGACACTTCACTTCGAGCATGCGGACGACCGTGGCTACTATTCAGGGCCCCGCGGCCGACGACGACGGCGTGCGCGCGCGAAGAAAAAACGAATGTGTCCCGCATGGTATTATTTGACAGGGATGATGGCCCTGGCAGGTGCGCAACCGTTGTCGCAGAAGTTCGAAAAAGTTGCTCGCAAAAGCCCGTTTGACAGAATGTTTAAAAAGTCTTGGGTTTCCTACGAATCCGCAAGAGCGCGCGGGATGAGATTTTGACATTTTTTTGTTGAAAAACCATTGGTTTTTTGATGTTTTTATGTTGAAATCGCTCCGAACACTAAGCTTTTGGAAGGATTTCGTCTTGCGCGCGCGAATGTCCAATTTACCTTATTTTTTGCAAGGGATTCTTGAAATTTGATTATAGTAGAACAAGAAGTGTCATTTTCTATTGTTTTTTGCAAGGGAAAACCGATCGTAACAACACAACCGCGGCCGAATCCCCCGTTTTGCCTGATACTTCTCACAAAAATGATGAATAAATGAGCCTGCGACCTACGCGGCTGGGGGTCGTGCACAACATGTGCCCCAACAGATAATTATTCTTTAGAAGTAATAATGTTCAACAACAACAACAACAACAACAACAGCAGCAGCAGCAACAACAACAACAACAACAACAACAACAACAACAACAACAACAACAACAACAACAACAACAAAAAATCATACAATCCAAAGCAAGCAAAGCATGTTAAGACTGCGCGCTCCTATACGATCTCGTGCCACTCGGCACGTAGATCACAAACCCTCGGTACACGCCCTCTTCGTCTTCGATCGTACCCCATTGGGGGCATATCTTCCATACCTGCTACGTGGATTCAGTGCAACCCTCACAACACGGGAAGAAATGACGGATGGAAGGGTGAGGAACAAGGATGTAACACGATAAAACCAGGAGGGGAGCTAGATGCAGAAAACGCGTGGCAAAACCAGACGGGCAGATCGGGCGGGCAGACCCTAGCAGGCGGGTCGGGAAGGCGGGCCCAGGCGGCCAGGTCGAGCAGGCGGGTGCTGAAGCGAGACTCCTGCATGAATCGGAAGGAAGTCTTAAGCGACAGCGCGATTCCCAAATAAATCGCGGAACACAAAAGCAAACAAACAAAAACGAGGGCGTGATTCCTGAGTGTCGAGGGCGAGGCGTCTGAGCAAATTGCGAGGAACTCCCACGCGAGAGCACGATTCATGCATAAATTGTGAGGAACCCCCGCGCGAGAGCGCAATTTGGGAATAAAGTGTGAGGAAATATCAGGCGGGAGCCGTCGCTGTTGTAGCCAAGGGGCCCGATGAAATGCTTATATATACTAAAAATGTGCGAACCCCGAGATGGGCCCCTTAATTGAAAAGTAGTACGTTCACCAGTTGGGGGACCAACACGAATTATCTATTCGAGAATGAGGAGTTCAACAACAAGAACAACCACCACTAACCATAACAACAACAGCAACACCAACAACAATAACAACAACAATAACAACAACAGCAACAACAACAACAACAATTACTAGCACGTGGGGACACACCGTTCTCACCAGTGCCAGGGTTTTCATAAAATAAATACATAAAGGAGTCAACAAGGGCAATACCCCCACTTTGTGGGGGGGCCGGATCAAGCTCAACCAAATTTCCAAACGACTCTTCGCCACCACCCACACCCAGCTTCCCGCCCTATGACGTTCGGACACTTCACTTCGTGGCATGCGGACGACCGTGGCTACTATTCAGGGCCCCGCGGCCGACGACGACGGCGTGCGCGCGCGAAGAAAAAACGAATGTGTCCCGCATGGTATATTTGACAGGGATGATGGCCCTGGCAGGTGCGCAACCGTTGTTGGAGAAGTTCGAAGCACGTGAAAAAGTTGCTCGCAAAAGCCCGTTAGACAGAAATGTTTAAAAAGTGTTGGGTTTCCTACAAATCCGCAAGAGCGCGCGGGATGAAATTTTGACAATTTTTGTGTGAAAAACCATTGGTTTTTTATGTTTTTATGTTAAAATCGCTACGAAAACTAAGGTTTTGGAAGGATTTCGTCTTGCGCGCGCGAATGTCCACTTTACATTATTTGTTGCAAGGGATTCTTGAAGTTTGGTTATGCTAGAACAAGAAATGTCCACTTTAGCTTATTTTTTGCAAGGGAAAACCGATCGTAACAACACAACCGGATCCGGACCCCCGTTTTGCCTGAGACTTCCTCACGAAAATGATGAAAATGAGGCTGCGGCCTAGGCGCGGCGGGGGGGTCGTGCACCAGGGGTCCCAACAATAATTATTCTTAAGAAGAAATAATGTTCAACAACAACAACGACGACGACAACGATCATTACAAGACTGTTCGCTCTTACTTGCCCGTGTGTCATTCAAAACGAGTTCCCCACAACCTCGACACCCGCCCTTTTTGTCTTCGATCACACCCCCTTTGGGGGGATTATTTCTCTTTGCGGGGGG